AAAACCAAGCTGCAATTGAGACCTCCAATACTAAGCCATAATAAAAGTTAGAGCAATATTCTCATGCCTTTAAGACATCTCAAAATAGAACTACCACATGCTTTGAGTGAAAGTGGATGAAAGCTTCATAATACATATACTAACATGCTCATGAGAGGGGCCAAATTATTTCAAGACCATCCTCTTAATTGCTTCCAATATAGATATCTCTCGGGAGATAGGAAACATGCCATGACTTCAGCACTTTAGATAAGCAAAGTAAAAGAAAGAACTAATAGCATGCCACATTGCTTAACCAAGTACAACTCCTATAATATATGCATATTTTCTCATCTTTCACATGCTTTAAGTGATAAACATTTCTAAATATAAGTATAATGACAACTAGCGTGCTAAACCATACCCTGAAATCATCATCAGAGGCTTGGCAAGGTTAAAACCGAGAGCCAGTAAAATACAAAAGTAGGAAGTGAGAAGTAAACACATCCATTAAGCTTGCATCAAACAAATGCTACTTCCATATGATAGGCATATAGAGAATTAAATTAGAATGGATTTAAAAAAATGAATCAAAGGGTGATCTTTTCGTTCCAACATGCTAATAAAGGCTCGGCAGAGAACAGGGACGAGCACAAACAAAGCGCAGGCGCTCGGTAAAGAGCAGGGCCAAACACAGGCAACGCACAAGGGGAGAAGGAAGTACCTCCTTAAAGTAGAATCACAAAAGAAATTGCAGAAAAGTGTTCCCTAGCCAACACCTCTCTCCAACAACAAGGAGAGTTCAAAAAAACTTAAGAGAGTGAGTAGAGAAGAGTAATAGAGAAAGGTCCTCCCCTAAAAATGATTTTCGGCCCCTTTAGAAGATTCACCGAGGAGTTCTCATATACGCTAAGGGCAGAGGAGATGAATGATTGAAAAAACTCCCGCAGAGATCGAGCATCGAGCGCAAAGGCGCGCCATACCGTTTGCGGCTCGAGGAGCCAGCAAATAATGAGGAGGAATGGGCGACTGCGAGAGGAGCGTGGGAACCTTCGTTCCAACGACTCGAGTTTGTAAGGTCAACTCGAGGGACCACAACGACCAGAGCAGAGACGCGAGAGGGACGGACCCACGAACAAGAGACGGAAACGGGAGAGGGGAAATGAAATTAGGGATTAGGCTTGTATTATTTATAATAATAATAATAAAATATTATTTATTAGTATAAATAATACTAAAATACATATCCTTCTCCAGCCTTCGTGACGAAACAAACGTCTCTCCTAGGCGAAATCAACTTTCAAGACGCGTCGGCGCAGTCTGTTTCGTCATCCGGAGTCGTCTGGACAACCTCGTCGTCGATCGGGTTAAAAACGCATCACGGTCCTATCAAAATTTTGGCTCGAATTCGATTAAACAGGACGGCGAAGAGCGCAGCGGCGCCAAATCAACGAGTAGAGTCAATCCTAAGTCCGACAGTCTTATAGGAATGCTACCTGAGTTCCTTCGGAGTAGCCTTACCTGCTAAGTAATAGCAGTCAAGACTACTACATGGAACATCAATTCGAGCGAAGAAAAGTCCAGAATTGCTAACGATGAGGGCTCATTCACTAGTTTACTAGGAGTAGTCGACAGAAATGTCCTACGGCTAGATCCTAGGCTACTAAGGAGGGGAAGACTACACCTTGGCCGAAAGCGAGGTCTACAGAGCCGTCGTTGGTCAACTGCTTTTTCCCTTTGATGGTATTGTTTTGCACCCATGGGAGGACTTATTCAGCCCACCTTCACGCCCTTATGCCTGAAACTGACTCTGATAAGCTACTATGATGTCCAATGAACCTCATGCGTGGCACTCAGTGCTCATCACACAATGCTCGTCACCAAAATTACTTTTTGAGGCTACCTCTGTGACCTCATAATGCCAAAGACTGCCCTCATGTTACTTGTAACTCTAAGTTTAACCACATGTTGATGCATCACCACATTACATGTTGATGCCCATATAGCCCTGTGTGTGCAAACCTCTACATTCCAAAGTTGCTCCTTGCTTCGACACATGATACTTCAAGCATCAAGTGCATTCCTACAATTCATAGATGTGCACGATAACTCATCCACGCAACTTGATTTGCACGCGTTGCACACATTCTAGTTGTGTCTTACTGGCATGACTCAATCAAGTTTCTCTTAAGAATCATCATATTAGTGGTTTAGCTTGCCTGCCTTGACTTGATCAGTGGTTAACATTCCACCCATCATCCACCTTGACAATCATTGTCCTTAAGCGAAGCCATTGATTGCTTCGAACACTACAATCGTATAAACATAATAGATGCAACTCTTATCCTGCTATAAGGCGTCTCTTTGGTGTGCACTTTCATGGCCTTTCCCTTAACATCTTCTAATCCTACACTTGGCGATACTTTCTTACTCAATCCCTCAAAACAGTGAAAAAAAGTGGATTACCTAGTATAAAACCCTTAGAATCCCACAATAACACCTTGAAATCCCTTCTAAAAGTAAGCCATAGTGCCCAATTAGAAAAGTAAGAAAATCTTACCTTATAGGTAACATCACCGACTTGTCGTGGCCTCATCCCAATCGCTCAATTGTCATGCCTCCTATTTGTGGACATAAGAATGAGTGGTAACCTGTGAGCAAGGACATCATCAATTACCATGAGATTACAATTTGTCATCATATACCATAACAATTTATCATCTTGTTGTGAGATGGTCTTTCCACCTAGTTCTGGTCATTAGTTTCATTGGATAGTTTTTTGCTCTAGCATGCATCATTGTCCATGCTACATATGGGACTAGCTACAGTAATTGAATCTTGCCCCTATAGACTAGCACCAACACTCAGTATTAGCATAAACACCTAACCACTCTAGTCATTGGGCCACACTCCAATGAATCCCTACTCAAGCGTCCACTCACACACAATTTTGGATGAATTAGCAGGCTAGCTTCCTTTGCACCACCTCAAGCGTCTGCTAAATCTTCAAAAGTTTGCTCAATGTTGATTCAAGGTGAATATTAAAAATACTTGTATGCAATTGGGTATTTAGGACCATTTAAATGCCTATAAAATCACAAGATCTGTTGGAATTTAGAGAATTAAATTACATTGGACTCATTAATTTAGCTCTAAACTTGATTAAGCATAATCCACCCATGCATTTAAAGTCCAAAGGAAATCATTAAATTTCTATTTCACAAATCATAAGAATTACATTTGACATGTAGAATTAGGAATAGATATTTGTTTAAATAGAAAAAGATTCAAAGACATGTACTATTAAAATCTCCTGACATTTCCATCGACTTAATCCCAAGCAATGTGACTCAAAAAAACATGAATTTTTGTTTGTCATAATTACAAAATTTAAATATAATTCTTTGATAATAGGAAGGAATATTGTGTAATCCGTATTATCGTAATATTTTTATTATGCACACAGAAATACACAAATACAATCCTTTTATTTAATTTTTTTTATAGATTTTTTCCCTAGAGTCCACAATATACTATCATATTTACTATAGTAAGTACTATAGAGATTTCTACTACAAAGGTTTTGCAATAATTGTATGTAATAAAGGATAATGATGAAGACATGCTTGATATTTAATAAATTCTATGATATTTTTATGCATTGTATAGTAAAATTGAGAGGATCATGTTTTGTAATGTTTAGTATTATTTTCTTCTATGTATTTTAAATATTCTTTAGGTTTGACTTATGCTAAGAAATATAGAGGCAGACCTAAAAATATTTGGGCATGTTATATAAAAAATTATTTTAATTTATTAGAATTAAATTAAAATATGACACTTGATAAAATACAATGGAGAAAAAGGATTCATTCAGTGGGATAAAGGCTTGTTGTTGTTGTTCAGGTATTTCAAATATTCTTTATTTACTTCCTTTGCATGATTTATCCACATACTTATTGTATTTTTTGTGTATTATTTATTTGTAATTTGTGTATCATTTTATTTCTTTCTGTGCATAAGTGTTAGGCTACCTATTTGAACTTTTTAAAAATTTAAGAATTGATAAAGCTATTTGAATTCTACTACTTCATATATGCTTTTTTACTAAAAAAAAAATACTTTTGTAACCCATAAAAGTAGATAAACTATGCAAGACATATGTCAAACTTAGTATCATGGTATTTCGCTATACGCTCTAGATTATAAACATTGGACTAAGTCGGCAAATGCTTATCAAAGCGCATCGATACTGCAGGCCTTGAGCCATATCAACATGTAAGTTTAGAAAAACAATACATCCTTGCATTGCATGGTAAATCTTTTGTATTCTTTAGAGTCTCTTGCTTGTAAGGCAAGACTATAAGACCCATTTCCCTCCATGCCAATCAACCCATCCTTTATTGCATTAGGGCTTGATCACATTTACAAGTAATTAAATATTTTTTTTTATTATTATAGAATCAAAAGCTATTGTAAAATAAGCAAAACTTCTTTTGTTGCATTTATATATTCAAGTTCAAACCCACCATGAATCCTCTCATAGCCTATCCAAATGGAACTAATATGTTTATTTAATATCCCATATTCCTGAGGCATATGTCATAAAAGTCCATTCACCTCTTTCCAAAATTAATACTTACTCTACTCCAACCTATGGAGTATAAGCACCAACCGCATCTATAATACCCTCAATAACAATTAACTTAATAGCAATCACTTTATCACTAAACATTCTTACCTTAACAATACTTATTTTTAAATAGAAATCATACCACCTATCATTCTGTTGTTAAACATTTCAACATATAATAAGCATAAACAATAAAATAAAGACAGATCCTATATCAACAATTTAAGCATGTTTTCATGAAGATGCTCTTCAAATTAAACAAAGCCATGTGAAAACTCCACAAGCAATTCAAACAAAAGAAGCATCAAGGAAACACCAAGACTAGAAAAAAAACTAAATACCGCAATATGTTGAAAATTATCAAATGTGCATACGAAAATGAATATACCTGGAACAGAAAGTACTGATAATGGTCATTAGAGAGCGTTTGAGGGGATTTGATAATTTGATGCAAGTCAGTATCCATGAGTTCGTATACAAGGTAAACATCCCTGAAATTCTTATGAGGCGGCATCATAATATCCTTCAAAGCAATGACATTCTCATGATGAAGGTGGCGGAGAAGTTTCACTTCCCTTAGTGTTCGAAGTGCATCGACTCGATTTTCAAAAACATTGTTAATTTTTTTAATTGCAACCTTTTCATTTGTCTCCTTGTTCACAGAAGAACAAACAATCCCATATGCTCCCCTACCAATCGGCTTGATGGGCACATACTTGGTGTCAATCTCAAAAAGACTTTGCAACATCACAAAGTAATGCTTCCCAGGATTCCCAGTGCCATTTGGCGGATCAACAGATCTAGCCATTCCCTACCAACACGAAGCATACTTCCTCATAAAGCAAGCCATACATCAATCAATAATTTAGCAAAACGAAGGAGTTGAACATTAAAAGGCATCATTCTCAATATCCAGTAAGGTCTAGATAGGAACTCCTTCATGAAGCACTAGAGCTGACCAACTGTTGCTCTAAATCCGCTTTCTAGTTATCAATAGCCAGTGACCAAAAAATATATATAAATATATATCGGATCGCCATTTCCCAGGTCAACTCCAAAATAAATCGAATTCTTCCACACAACCATTTCAAGAACTCTTATACAAGTTTACAAAAGAGGCATTGGACATAAAAATACATAAAAAACACAAAATTGAACAGCAAGAAAGATTAAGAAAGCATACCTCTGGCAGTAGCAGTAGAGGAAAGTCCGGAAAAGAAGCCTCCCGATTAAATCAACGAGAAGGATCTAAACAACCGAGGTGAATTGCCCGGAGTTCAGCAATAACTTCTCAACCGAAACACTTGAGTAAGTCTGGAAAAGAAGCCTCTCAGTTAAATCAAACCTTCATACAACTCTCGAAGCTCCAAACTAGACTGCAAAGCCCTACGATTCCTTGCATTCCAACTTCCTAAACCTTACAGTTTTACTTCAGACGCTCACAGAAGCGGTGCCTCATCGAATTCAGCTTCTCCGATGGAGCTAAGAATCCCGACACCTTAGATCAGCAGTTGGGGACGGAGGAGTAAACGATTAGGACTGCTATTTGTATTAAAAAAATGGCATTTTTACATACATACCATATGCGTAAAAAAATTATTTTACGTTTTAAAGTTTTAAAAGTTAAAATAGTGATCTTTTTAATGTGATTCTAAAGATTTGTATGGTGTTAATATAAAAAGTCAAAGTTTAGGAAACACCAAAAATTCATCTAAGGGAATGATTATAAGCTCATAGTTTCTTCGGAAGCATCAAATCATTTCCTCTTTCATTGTAACACATAGATAGTTAATGTTTTGTAAGGTTATGATTAAAGTTAAAATAAATGATTTAATTATTTAAATCATGCTTTCAATAAAGCACAAGTTCTCACTTTATTATGTAACCATATTGTGGATGTATTCAGCTTAAACAACAATATTATGCTTTCGTTGGTCACTAGAATCTCATTCTCTTAAAAGTTATCAATTTGTTCTATTGTTTGAGACTTAAATGGAGGTAAGTATTCTTAATCGGTTAGGAAGCACCAAAAATTCATCTAAGGGAACGATTATAAGCTCATAGTTTCTTCGGAAGCATCAAATCATTTCCTCTTTCATTGTAACACATAGATAGTTAATGTTTTGTAAAGTTATGATTAAAGTTAAAATAAATGATTTAATTATTTAAATCATGCTTTCAATAAAGCACAAGTTCTCACTTTATTATGTAACCATATTGTGGTTGTATTCACCTTAAACAACAATATTATGCTTTCGTTGGTCACTCGAATCTCATTCTCTTAAGAGTTATCAATTTGTTCTATTGTTTGAGACTTAAATGGAGGTAAGTATTCTTAATCGGTTAGGAAGCACCAAAAATTCATCTAAGGGAACGATTATAAGCTCATAGTTTCTTCGGAAGCATCAAATCATTTCCTCTTTCATTGTAACACATAGATAGTTAATGTTTTGTAAAGTTATGATTAAAGTTAAAATAAATGATTTAATTATTTAAATCATGCTTTCAATAAAGCACAAGTTCTCACTTTATTATGTAACCATATTGTGGTTGTATTCACCTTAAACAACAATATTATGCTTTCGTTGGTCACTCGAATCTCATTCTCTTAAGAGTTATCAATTTGTTCTATTGTTTGAGACTTAAATGGAGGTAAGTATTCTTAATCGGTTAGGAAACACCAAAAATTCATCTAAGGGAATGATTATAAGCTCATAGTTTTTTCGGAAGCATCAAATCATTTCCTCTTTCATTGTAACACATAGATAGTTAATGTTTTGTAAAGTTATGATTAAAGTTAAAATAAATGATTTAATTATTTAAATCATGCTTTCAATAAAGCACAAGTTCTCACTTTATTATGTAGTCATATTGTGGTTGTATTCAGCTTAAACAACAATATTATGCTTTCGTTGGTCACTCGAATCTCATTCTCTTAAGAGTTATCAATTTGTTCTATTGTTTGAGACTTAAATGGAGGTAAGTATTCTTAATCGGTTAGGAAGCACCAAAAATTCATCTAAGGGAACGATTATAAGCTCATAGTTTCTTCGGAAGCGTCAAATCATTTCCTCTTTCATTGTAACACATAGATAATTCATCTAAGGGAACTATTTAAATCATGCTTTCAATAAAGCACAAGTTCTCACTTTATTATGTAACCATATTGTGGTTGTATTCACCTTAAACAACAATATTATGCTTTCGTTGGTCACTCGAATCTCATTCTCTTAAGAGTTATCAATTTGTTCTATTGTTTGAGACTTAAATGGAGGTAAGTATTCTTAATCGGTTAGGAAACACCAAAAATTCATCTAAGGGAATGATTATAAGCTCATAGTTTTTTCGGAAGCATCAAATCATTTCCTCTTTCATTGTAACACATAGATAGTTAATGTTTTGTAAAGTTATGATTAAAGTTAAAATAAATGATTTAATTATTTAAATCATGCTTTCAATAAAGCACAAGTTCTCACTTTATTATGTAACCATATTGTGGTTGTATTCAGCTTAAACAACAATATTATGCTTTCGTTGGTCACTCGAATCTCATTCTCTTAAGAGTTATCAATTTGTTCTATTGTTTGAGACTTAAATGGAGGTAAGTATTCTTAATCGGTTAGATGGAGTTGGCCAACGAAATATGAATCCATTCTCATTGTCAAATTTCATCATCTTGGCTCTTAAATTATTCTTGTGCCTATCTTATGATGGATATATACAATCTTAAATTAAGTGAATATTGCTCTTCTAATAAATGCACATTAATCTGACATACAATAACTATAGGTGACTTGACATTTAATGTCTTTTTTTCACAAATGATGACAAGGGATTTGCTCCCTATACCCTTCACCTTCTAATTTAGCTCATTCTCCTTCTCCACTTTTGGCGAATGCTCGAGTCAATAACAAGCTGTCGGCACTATTTTTGGTGTGGGGTTTGCCCGTAAGAAGCTGTCGGTCATTGGAATTAAAATCCCGTTGCCCGCTTCGGAAGGACGTT